TAAACAAAAAATGCAGTTAAGCTCCTTTCTACCATGTCTGCTTTTAGATGCAAAGCTACAAGCCACTGGGAGGACCTAAAGGGGCTTTTAAATCTGCCCTCTCCTTAGAAATGATAAAAACTCTTCAGGAATGGGTAGACACATTGAAAGATGGGCAGCTTAGCTGGAAACAGGAAACCCTAAAGCTGATTATCGTCGTGTTTTAGGCTGACCCAGATACATCTCCAATTAGAATAATAAGCAGCACCCACTTTGGCCAACCAGAACTATCATCTAATGGTTGGGGGCTACAAGACCCGTGATGAGTCCTCCCTCAGCTCAGAGAAAATAAAGGCCAACAGATGAAAATGACCATTGTTTTGAGTCTCATTTCTTGGGTGAGATGCAGGTCTCCATGTTTTCCTATTTTACCACCCAGCTACACAACAAACCAAAGGCCTTTATATTTGATTTTGTGTTGGTACTGGGGCTTGAACACAAAGGCTAACACCCTTACTTGGCTCTACCCTCCCACCCCCTTTCAGGCTGGTGGTCTACCACTTAAGCCACAGCTCGACTTCCATCCAGCTTTTTACCGGTTAACTGGAGATAAGTCTTACGGACTTTCCTGCCCAGCTGGCTTTGAACTGGCATCCTCAAACCTCAGCCCTCCTTAGTAGCTAGGATTAAAGGTGTAAGTTACCAAGGCTGAATACAAAGACCTTTAGATCTTGCTGAAACTTTCTCCTTGTGAAACACTCTGACATGCTTTTAATGAGTGGATCTCAAGGACCTGTAGTTTGCATGGAAACTGGAAGTTAATGGAAGCTTTCATCAATTTTTGGGTGATACTAAGAAGCCATGGCCCACACAGCCCGAGACTCTTGCTCCTACATGTTTACCCTTTCCCCTTTGTCTGGCTCTTTCCCCCTTGACCTAGATTGGCTCTGATTGTTATACACTGGCAAATCTGTTTCTAGCCAGAGCCCTGACTCCCCAGCGGCCATTCACACATGCTATCTCTGTTCCTTGAAAATCTATTTCTCAGTTTACAGGTCTGACATACAACCCCACCTCTTTAAAATGCTTCTGCCACAGTCCAGGACAACTTGTTAGTGCTAGACCCAGGGAATTATCGTTAGCAACCACTAGAACTTACTAGGCCTAGGGCCTGACACAGCCCAGCTCTTAGAAGACTGAGCACAGGAGACAGGGAGCTCAGGACTGTGGCCTCTATAGACAGATACTGTAGATTTAATTCTAAGCCTGATTAGTTAAACATCTTATAATCTTTTGGCAGATGACTTAATTTCTGTCTACCTCAATTTCCTCGCCTAAATTATGGGGGTAATGTTGGGTGCTAGCTCCCTCCAAGATGGTTGTGAAAAGTGAATGAAGATCCATAAGCATTCTGTAAGAAGGCCTGGTACCCAGCAAGTATTCAATAATGAGCTATTGCTATGCCCCATGTTAACTTGAAAGCATTCCAAAATAATTTTAGATCAATAGGTGATTACAATACTTGTACAGCAATGCCAGGTTCCCTTTCTCTGGTTACCAAATCGTAATACTTTATGTAACTACAGTACCATGAACAAAATCGGGAAATGGATATTTGCATAGGGCTCTGAAATCAGCCTTTATTCTGATTTCACATTTTTCCGAGTTGAAAGGCATTTCAGATTGAGATCTGAGGAAATCTACGCTTCACTGTGTTGTCTTAGTACTGGAAGACCTGAGACTTAAAACCAGTCTCTTCCCAAGAGACCATCAAGACCAGAAAGGGCTGGCCTAAGGGTGGTATCCTTTTTCTTTTAATAAAGAACATTCTTCTTCGACACAATAGAATATTATTGTATTTTTCCTGGCAGTACTAGAATTGAGGGAGTTAGGCCTCCTTGGTTAGGTAGATAGGAATAAAAAATGGCAGACATAATGTCACATGTGGCTCATCTTCACACTATACCCAGGATTCCTGCTCAACTGATAAAGAACCAGGCAGTACACATTCAAGCTATCAAGCAATCAGCACAAAACTCAAGGGAGGAGATACGTGGAAAGCCCCTGTACTAGAATAACCTCCATCCAAGCGGCCTCCATCTAAAGAGGACTTTGGGCCCCTCTCTACAGCCTATTCTCTACTTCTGCATTCAGGTAAACTTGCTCTGTCTGCCTTAAACACACTTTTCCTACACTTTCACTTTTTTGTTTTTTTTGTTTTTGGTGTTGTTCCTGGGGCTTGAACTGAAGGCCTGGGCACCGCCCAACCTTTTCTAGCTCAAACCTAGCACCCTACCACTGGAACCAAGTCTCCACTTCTGGTTTTTTGGTAGTCATTGGAAAGAGATTCACAAACTTTCCAGTCTGGCTTTGACCAGCAATCCTTAGGTCTCAGATTCTTGAGAAACTAGGATTATAAGCCTGGACTGCTGGCACCTGACTCCCTTGTAATTCTTTAATTAGTGGAGAAATGAGCCCATATCTTCTAGATGGCATTAAGGCTTGAACTCAGAGCTTTATGCTCCAAGCAGGCACACATAACTCACACCTCCAGCCCTGTAATGCACATGCCAATTTCAATCCCAAGCATTGATTGAACCACAATAGTTAGCTTTTTTTTTTTCTTAATAAATCTTGTAAGATAGTGAAGTCTTTGCTTTGGCTTGGCAGTTGGATTTGAACCCTGCACCTGCAATCAGCCAACAGTAGTTAGTTCTGCTCTGGAAGTTTCGGTGGGCTTTGCTGGGGGAAGGAGGTAAGAGTGACTCCTAGCTTACTGGGCCCACCTGCCATGCTGATGGAGGAGGTAGGAGGGTTAGACTTCCTCTGTGTGTAACGTTAGGATTCTGGACTATGGTGTATATATATATATATATGTGTGTGTGTGTGTGTATATATATATATGTGTGTGTGTATATATATATATATATATATATATATATATATATCAAGCTTGTCTCTTGGTTAAAAACATCAAGGCAGAACTTCAAAACCCTTTCAATAATATGTTAAAGTACTGGAACTTACTTTTGATTTTGTGTGAGTAATTTAACTGTACTTTCAGGACTTGCCTGATCTCTACCATGAGAACAGGTTTGTGTCAACAATTCTAAGGGACAGGAAGCCAAGGTTAGCACAGTAGGTTTTACTACGAATAGTCTTCCGAAGTTTCCCTCCAATTCCAAATCAACAAGCTGTCAATACACTGGCCCTCCATCCTTTTTGCTTCTAATTGGTACCACTCTTTTTGAACTCAGGACCTTATGATATCTGGGCAGGTGCCCAACCACTTTAGCCACTATTCCAGTACTTTTTTGATAAATAGTGTCTCTCAAGTTTTTATGCAGTCCACCCTTGGATGGTAATCACCTTACCGAAGTCTCTTGAGTATCTAGGACAACAGGCTGGTTGGTAGAGAGGGGTTTCACTAACATTTTGTCTAGGTTGGCCTTGGGAGAGTCTCTGTTCCATCTCCTGAGAAGCTAGGATTACAGCTATGAAAGCCTGTCAGTAGCGGACTCAAGCTTGTAAGCCAAGGAAAGCTACTCCTCTTCATCTCTATGCCAGCTGTAACTTCTGCCTCCTCTGTGCTGCCTCAGGGCTTCCAGTTTTCTCCCAGCTCTGCCTTGCATTCTGGCTATTGATGAGTCTCTTGTACTTGATAACCTCCTTAGGGGTCACCATATATTTATCTCACTGGGCACCCGTACAGCACAGTATGTACCTCAATGTAGCAACCATATAGAAAGTTCTGGCTCTGCTGACCTGTGTTGCAGCACACACAATGGGACTGGAGATAATGTTCACAGCCACTTTTTTCTTCTTTTCAGTGTTGGGAAGGAACCCAGGGCCTTTCACACACCAGGCATGTAACACTCTGAGGCTGAGTTGCGTTCAGTCCTCAAGCCACTCATGTTCGCATTTTGTGAGCCTATACATTAAATAATGTGGAAGATTTTTCTTCCTTCCCAGTAATTTGGTCATTTAACTCACTCTTGTAAACAAACTCAATTTGAACGTATTTTACAGCTAGACACAAGTAAGACTAACCTTGTCAGCACCTTAGGTTCACCCCACATTTCCCAAATTTAAGCAATTAAATAACACAGCAGCAACAAATGAGGTGCAGAAGGAAGGAGAGATGGCGATGAGCACAGGTATAAACCTGCCACTCCCTTGGCTTTACAGGACTAACTGCAGTTCTCTGTAAGCAGCTCGGCTCCCACTCTGCTGAATGTCTAGATTAGAGCCCAGACACACAGCTTGAGGCCCTAACAGTCTACAGATAGTGCTGTCTCAAGGACCTTCACTAGTACTTTGGTGGACTATAGTTCTGTCCATCTACACAAATGTCTAAAGATTCTTTTATATTTAGCCCTACTTATTTCAGTTTCTGTGAGAATGAGGTAAGATACTAATCAAGAGCAATGAATTACAGCAATATAAAATAGTATCCACAGGCTGGGAATATGTCTTAGTGGTAGAGTGCTTGCTTTGCAAGCACGAAGCCCTGGGATTGATTCCTCAGTACCATATACAAAGCAAAAGCCAAAAGTGGAGCTGTGGCTCATGTGTAGTACTAAGCTTGAGTACACAGAGGCTCAGGGACAGAACCTAGGCCTAGAGTTTAAGCCCCAGAGTGTTAAAAAAAAAAAAAAAGTACCCACAACTGTTTTTAAAAAGTATGATTTTTTTACAAATCAAGAGAGCAAGCTGAAGTTAGTCTCCAGTGACTCACATCTGGAATCCTAGCTACTCAGGAAAAGTGACAGAGGACTGAGGTTCAAGCCAGCCTAGGCAGAAAAGTCTGCGAGATTCCATCTCTAATTAACCAGCAAATACGCAGAGCTGGAATCATGGAGTGCCAGCTGCGAGCAAGAAAGCAAGAGTATGAGAACCTAAGTGCAAGCCCTGGTACCTGAAAAAAAAAATCAAAACAAAATAACACTGAAAAGATTAAAATGTGGATATTGTCACAAGTATGATTCATAATTGCATAAGTAAGTGCAGAAACTCAACTGTCATTCATAAATACAAAATTTTATTTGCACTTCATTAGTGTAGAAAGACCACGATGCTTCTCAGCACAACACTCAAGACACGCCAAGTTATTCCAATACATACTTCCTTATTTATCTTGACTAAACAAAACAGTGCAGCTTAATAAAAGATATACCAAAAAGAGAGTTCACAAATTCATTATCAGACCAAAAAAAAAAAAAAACTCAACACAGTTTACGCTTAATGGGATTAAGCTTCACCTTCAAGAGGAGCTTCATCATTACAAAGTTAACTGAGTGATGAGGCCAGTGCACCTACATCCTCTGACAGAGTAAAGGGTGTCTTTAAAATTCCTTGAAACAGGATTTGTTTAGGAAGCAATGTGCCTTTAAAATCTTTTTCTATCATTTCAAAAATGTTTTTCTTTCATGTATTTTTTCCTTGTAGTGCTGGAGATGGAACCCAAGGGCCTCATGCATGTTAGGCAGGTGCTCTACCACCAAGCCATTCCCCCTAGCCCAACAGAATCTTTTTAATTGAATCTTTGTTGTTCTTACAACTGTTGGGTACATCCAACAGAAAAACCATGAATTCTGAACCACTAATCCAGCCTGTAACTAGGAATATCCTGCCAGTCCAGAACACTAATAAATACCCTTCAGTGGCAGCCAGGGCTGGAGCTTCACCTGCAGAAACACACCAATACTTCAAAGCTGCTACAGTTGGAAATGTCTTGTAAATAAAGAAAAAGCACTTATAGCCCCGTCCCAAAGTCTTTAGTTTTACAAATGTCTTTAAGTAAGCAAAGCACCACATTCTCTCTTGTTATCAGAATATCTTCTGTCCTCATAACTAACAAGGACAATTATATTATTTAAGAAACATCATAGCTCTTGTCGCTCTCTCCCATTCTTCATATTAGAAGTACATTTCCCAGTGTGTGTACACTAGACACTGGGGTAATGAAGGAAATAGAATTTAGAGGGAAATACGTAACTTACAACCCAAACTTATCCAGGATTGTATATTTGCATATTTACAAGTTAGTGTATAGCTCTGACTTGGATTACAAAGTGCGGAAGGAAATTGTCAAAATGATTGTAGTGCACGACAGAAGGTTTCCCTCTCCAGGAATGGGCTGCACTCTGTTTCCAAAGTAGCAACTCAACAGCATCGGACATGGGGTCTTGGCGGAGGCAGCTCTGGCGGGATCTCAGGTTCTGGTTGTAGGGAGAGGATGCTATTGGACAACTCATTCCTTAAAATATCCAGAGGCATCTACAAGATAAGGGGAAATACAAATTACATTGTAATCTTACAAGGTAAAAGTAGCAAACTGTATAACTATGTAGAAGATAAAGTATTAATATTAAAAGCTCTCTGAAGGTATTGAGCATTCCCAGTTTTCTTCGTCCTTATTCCCTATGTTTGCACACATGTACACTACAGTTGGCTTTGGAGGTAATTCAGTCACCTGAAGGTGGGTTATGTGCAAACAGCAGCATTTTATACAAGAGTATTCACTCAACTTAGCATTTCCAGGGATCCTGAAAACAATCCCTGGTGGATATCAAGGATAAACAAATCTTGCACTAAAACCTTTGGATGAAAGCTAGAGAATAATTTCAGGGCCAAAGGCACCACCCAAAGTCTCTGAAAAGGAAAAGCCTACTAGGGGTGGGGAACCAGCATGCAAGTACCTATAGTGGGAAAACTTTGCCAGGCCTCCCTCACCATCCTTATCAAATTCAGCTCTTGTAGGAGAACAGGAAAAAAAAAGAATGTTAATGAACTTAGCACTTTAATTTTTGCTGACGGGAAAACTGAACTTAAGGCATGGGGTATACTGGGCGAGTGTTTTATCACCAGGCTCCATCCTAGCCCTGAAGTAGTTAAATTTTTCTCTGTAGTTATTTTTGTGGTGCTGGGACTGGAAGATGGGCCTCACACATGTTAGGTAAGGGCTATACACTGAGATGCACCCCATCCACACTGACTTCTTTTAGGGGTGTGTGTGTGTGTGTGTGCGTGTGCGTGCGTCTGTGTGTGTCCTGGGGCTTAAACTCAAGGACTAGGTGCTGTCCCTGAGATATGAGCCACTGGTACCTGGCTTTATTTACTTGTATAGTGCCCGGATCAAACTCGCAGCCTCACATGTGCTGAGTGCCCACCCTGTGTCCTAGCTCCTCAAACATATGGTTGTATCTTGTGTAAAGCACTCCACCAAACTAGATTCCAAGGCTAGGGAAAGAGTCTGCAGACCAACCTCGAGGGTTCTGAAGGTGGATGGAGACCAGCTGTTACCAGCGGGTTCCTGTGCCAGGGCAACAACTATACCTGGCTGCTGGGCAGGACCATAACCACTCTACTTTTCTTCTCTACAAGAAAATAAAGGAAGAATTTATGGTGAAATTCTTTCATGATGACATTGCTTTTACCTTTTTCAGAATGTCATCTACAAGCTTCAGGAAGATCTCGTCCACGTTGAAGTTGTCCTTGGCACTTGCTTCACAGAACCGCATCCCGGTTATCTGTTGTGCAAACTGAAGAGACATGGCACCTGGTCACCATGGGCCACAACACAGGCTGGCCTTACTAGGCAGGTGGGCTTAGCAAGTGGTCTGTAATCCAAGCCATGGCCAGCCCCAGGCTCTGGGAACAGGACTAAAAGTCTGTATAGCGCCCACTTATGTATCAAGTTTATACTTCTAGAAATTTCCTACATGATAAGTAAACTGCAATCTTTTCCAGATATCAGGACCTTTACATCAGATCACATGCCTATATCTCTACATGTACAACACAGCTGACATTTACAATACAAGTATCATGGCTTCTTCAGGACCACATCCCCACACCTGATAAAATCATGAATAAGATTTCACAACTTCCAAGAATGTTCTTCTGTATGAAAGTTTAAATAATAACATATAGTATATACTGGGGTGTTTTTTCCCCTCTACTTCAAAATTAATTCAAAGGAACAGGGGAAAAATAAGAAACAAATGGAAAGGCATGACTGAGGGGTTAGTGTAGGGATAATTACTTCATCATTTAAAGATGAGCAACTTGTGAGAGGACTCAGCATGCAGATGGGGAGAACGGCTTCTTAGGGCCCACTCTTACCTTCTCTCCCTGCTGTCTGCTAATTTCTCTGTCTGCTTCACAGTCCAGCTTATTTCCAACAAGGAGCAGTTCAGCATCTTCTGAAGCATACTGTGGAGTTTTAGAGATGGGTGCTGTCACACACCAACAGCAATGCAAGCAGTACGGCACCTGTCACTGCTCACCCCACGGTTCATTCCCCTACCATCTGTGGACATCTTTAGGACCAATGCAGGACAAGTGACTGACAGGGCTAAGAGCATTTTAAAAAAGTATATATTGTAACAGGCCTTAAGAAGCCCTATGTTGTTGGCTTTAGATCCAATAACTCCTAAGACTCCATTAGGGAAATGATTTAAAATACAGGCAGAGCTCCATTCCCAAGATGGTCATTAATCCAAAAAATACATAAAGAATTAAATTAAAAAGTATGCACCAAAACAAGGCTGGGTACCATGACTCATACCTGTAATCCTAGCTATTCTGGAGGTAAACGTCTGAGAGGATCATGGTTTGAGGCAAGAAGTTAGCAAATCTCAACCGATAAGCTGGGCATGTTGGTGTACACCAGTCAACCTAACTATGTGGAAGACTGTATGTATTATAGTCTGAGTAGCCCCAAACAAAAATAAAAGACCCTACTTAAAAGCAAAAATGACAAGGGGTATGGCTCCAATAGTACAGCATCTGTCTAGAAAGAGTGAGGACCTGAATTTACCAGTACCATCAACAAATCAGGAACACCCCTATGCTTATGGACAACACTGAATGACACAGGAAAACTTTTAGGACAGATTATCTAGTGAAGTAAGCAGGATGCAAAATCAAATGGAATCTAAGTTTTCAAAAAGACTTTTGTACTTTTCTTGATTTCTATTTTCCTATAATAAAGATATTAGTTTTAGAATCGGGAAAAAAACCTAGGTTACATTTATTAGTTTTTCAAAAATATAGGCACAAGAATTTTTCTTGTTTAACAATAAAGGTTAGGGCTGGGAAGGTGGCTCAGTGGTAGAGCACTTGCCTTACATGCATGAGGCCCTGGGTTTGACTCCTCAGCACCACATAAGCAGAAAAAGCCGGGAGTGGTGCTGTGGCTCAAGTAGTAGAGCACTAGCCTTGAGCTGATGAAACTCAGGGACAGTACCCAGGCCGAGTTCAGGCCCCACGACCAACCAAAAAAAAAAAAAAAAAAAAAAAAGGTTAAAAGCTCTTGAGTAACTCCCTGAATTGTGTGTATTTCCTCTGGAACAGACTATACACAAGGCACTGAGCAGGGTGTTGTTGGCCAAGATGCCAGGCAGGTAAGTGGTCAGAGCCTGCCCTACAGTGAGCACCTAACAAATGATAGCTCTCCCTCAAAAGAATGGTAAATGACTCAAGTGCTTGAGGAAGGTGGGCTTCAGACCTTAAGATCTTGGTAGATTGACAAACTGAAGTACTGACTAGGCTTTCAGGATGCATGCCATTTTTTCAAGTTTTATATTTATTGCATTAGTTTTGGAAATTTTACACTACATTAAAGACACTTCCTTTATAATGATAATTTCCTTAGGTGCACACTCTGGGGCTTCTGAATTTTCAGCAAACATGTAGCTGTCATAGCCAGATCATCTCAATACCCAGACTGGTCTCAGGAATGGAACAGTCAAAAGAATAAGACCTCTGCCTCCAAGTCTCCTTGGGAAGACAAAATCCTACTTTTTGTTATTTGTCTGGTTTTCTTTCTTTCTTTTTTTTTTAATTGTAAAGATACTGTACAGAGGGGTTACAGTTACATGAGTAAGGCAATGAGTATACTTCCTATGGAGCATTGTTACCCCCTTCTTTGTTTTTCCCCTACCATCCCACCCTCCCCCACTTCTTCCAATCCCAAGTTGTAAAGTTCATTTTCAACATAGTGTCTTGTACGATTCATTGTTACAATGGGTCAACCTGAATCCTTGTTTTGACATTGTCTGGTTTTCTTGAGATGGGGTCTTGCTATTTAATTCAGGCTAGCCTTAAGCTCCTGGTCTTCCTGCTTCAGCTTCCCAAGTACCGGAATTAAAGGCAGGAGTCACTGTCATGCCCAGCTCACAATTCTAACTTTGATAATAACCAACAACCAATACCACTAACCCACTCTCATTGACATTAAGCAGCCTTTGTACTTATTACTTTTCTCACTCCACAGCCTCTCATCATTTCTCACATGCTTTAAAATTCACTGATTCTGACCCTTATGCTGGCCACCAGCTCTGACATGTGGTTGTCTAGGTTGCATCCCAGGGATTTAACAGCCACTTCTGCTGAAACCAGTGGCTCTCTGTCTGGGCCAGTACAGGGTCTGATGCAGCTTTTAGATTTCAGACTACAAACCTTAGAGCCTAATACTACCAATTTCTAGACATGAAGAACATGAGGTTTTGTTCTTCTTGTACCCTTGGGTTTCCACTGTCATACTTGGCTGCCTTTTACAAACCTCTCTGTCTCAGTGGCTAACATACTGTGTGACAGGCAAAACAGGTCTGGTTTTGTAACACTTTGGTATGAGAAGAAATCATTTACCCAGTGACTAATGCCAAGCTCAGAGCAAGCTCAGTGCAGGGACCAACTTCAAACGTGTGCCTGGTAAACAAAGTAAGCCATGGCTCATGCTTGCAATCCCAGCTACTCAGATGGCTGAGAACTGAGGATCATGGTTCCAAGCCAATCCCAGGCAGGAAAGTCCAGGAAACTCTTAATCTTTAACTCTTAATCTCCAAAGCCAAAAGTGAAAATGTGACTCAAGTGATAAAAGCACCAGCCTTGAGCAAAATGTTAAGGGACAACATTCAGATTCAAGTTCTGGTACTAGCACACATGCCACACACACATACACACATACAACTGTAAATAAATCTCTAACATCAAGACAACTGTAGTCAAAATATAATTAAGTTTGTTGGTTTGTGTATGTGTGTGTGTGTTTCTCCCCTAGGCTTGAACTTAAGCACCTGGGCTCTGTCTTTGAGCTTTTTGCTCAAGGCTAGGGCTCTATCACTTTGAGTTAACAGCTTTACTTCCATAACTTTTTCTGGTGGTTAGCTGGGTTAAGAGGCTCAAGGATTTTTCTGCTTGAGCTGGCTTTGAATTGAGATGCTTGGATCTCAGCTTCCTGACTGAGATTACTGGTATGAGCCATCAGCACCCAGTATAATTAGGTTTACATATAATTTGTAGACAAAACCCACATATATCTATGTGTGACTGTAACATAAAGGAATTAAGCATCAAATATTGAATAAGGTTTACAAAAGTCTCAAGCTATGGTCAAGAGTACACCATCATATCTCACTCTAATTGCTTGGCCTCCTGAGGGCCCACATGGAGGTACACAACTGCTAGAAGAAAATCTACAGATAATCAAAGAGACATAGGTTTGGTTTCCTGTATAGATTATGAGCTAAAACAAAAATCTCTTGCTCAAAATGAGCTCAAGAACATTCACATGCTGAGGGAGCATTTCCAAAGGATGACTGAACTAACAGGCCACGTGCACCCTGGAGATGGCATCTTCTCAGAGCACACAATGAGCCTACATGGACCTTCCCACCTGGAACTTGATCTTATGGAAGCAGCCACAAAGGCAGAAGGAGATAGGCCAAGTTCCAGAGTAAAAACACTGTTGATACTTCTAAGCTGGTTCTGGATAATAATAAGGCTGTGCCTCATCTACAAAGCATTACACTCTCACCTGGGGGGTGTCAACTGACTGAATGACATTCAGGTTGTGATGCCTGTGCCATCACTGTGTCTCCTTCCTCTCCCCTTCTCCCTTTTTAGTGAGAACTGGCACACATAGCAAAGCTTGTATCCAACAGGAATGTAACATGTACCTTATCAATCATCTTCATCCACTTTGGCAAATCATCAAATGTCTCCTTCTTCGTGATATCATATACTAGTATGATCCCCTTGGCACTTCTGTAGTAAGCTGAGGTAATGCTGTTGAATCTCTCCTGACCTGCCGTATCCCTGTGAAACAGCAGCAAAAATCAGCTCCTCATAAGAGTCACCCTCTGTGTCCCCATTTCTCCTCCCATCTCCCCCAAAATCAAGGTTGATTTACACTATCTATGAAATACAAGGTATTTTTCTGCATGAGTTAACAACTAAATGCGACAACCAGAGATTAATTATGAACCCATAATAGTAACTCCCCTGCCCCCCAGTAAGGAAATCAGCATCAGGAGTGTCAATGTATCAGAATATACTATCATTCATTTTTTCCAAAATAAAACAGGGAAAACCATTTCTTAAAACAACTCATTACTCCCCATTTCTATGCCTGGATCTGCATGCTTCTGAGATGCCCTTCCCTTTTATCTCCCAAATATTCATGTGGACAAAGGTTTTGTTTTCTGTTTCTGTAAAACCTCATTTGCTTATTTTCCCTCCACACTGAGCTACCTGCCATCTTGTATGGTTAGGTTAACAACAGAAATGAAATGCTGGTCTATTCTACATGTACTTGTTAAGAATCTACCAAGGGCCAGTACCTTCATCTTCACTTTTGTTTTTTGGGGTTTTTTTTTTTTTTTTTGGTTAGTCGTGGGGCCTGAACTCTGGGCCTAGGCGCTGTCCCTCAGCTCTTCAGCTCAAGGCTAGCACGCTACCACTTGAGCCACAATGCCACTTCCAGCTTTTTCTGCTTATGTGGTGCTGAGGAATCGAACCCAGGACCTCATGTATGCAAGGCAAGAGCTCTACCACTGAGCCACCTTTCCAGCCCTCATCTTCACTTTTCAAAGACATGACAGTAAGGTAATGCACTGCTATGCCCTTTTGTCTTTCTGTGAAGATGAGAGTCCTCATCTCCCCCTCTTGATCACTAGAATTTTTTCACTGTGACTTCCAGAAAGTTTAGTTTACTTTTGTCATCTCCTCATCATTTGCTAAAAGCTAACATGTCATCTTATTCTGATTTCTCTCTACTTTTGTTGCAAATTTAAACATTTTGCAATTCTGATCCCCAAGCTTGTTAATTTAACAGTTAGTTAAGGCCAATTCAAAGATTCTTATTTGCTGTAGTGAATATGTCCACACAAATGATACTGACTTCCAATGTAAAAACCAATCTCAACATATGAAATGTTCTGCTTTTTCCAAGTAGAGAACACAAAGACACGAACATGATGCTAACAAAGAATGCTGTTGCAACAAACTCCAACAGTGAAGGACGAACTGAGGAAAGTGATCATTCATTTGTTTGTTCATTCATTTTTTCATTCACTGAGGTTCTGGGGCTTTGCCCCCAGATCTTAGGAGAATCACTGTAATCCTACATTTGCCTCAGGCAGGAGATACACTTCATGGCTTCAAGTCCAACAAACCCATGTTCACCGGGATCATTACCTTGAGTGCATGAATGCAAATTCATGGAACTTACACTAGCTACTACATTCTCCTTTAGAAACACTTAATATAGAAGTAATCTTAAGAAATAATAATAGTATACTGAGAAGTGGTCCTTCCGACTATAGACAACCAAGGAATTGAAAAAAAAAAGTGGCAATGACAAAACCGTGATGTAAAAATGTGATGGGACAGCTGCAGCTCTGGGTGCGTTAAACTTCCAACCAAAATTTTCTTAGAAAAAAATTTTCTTAGAATGGCTACCAAATAAACCTAATAAATTGCCGCAGTATAGAAATGCGGAGCTCAGCTGGTCTGCATGGCTCAAGTGTCGTGCAAGGCTCTGGGTTCAATCCCAGGAGCACAAAGAAAACAAAAGCTTCATCCAAACACCGAGTGACACAATACAGATGTAATAAATATGCCAGCAGCAACAGCACAGCACTGCTATCAACTGTTTTCATGGTGTGTACAATCACACCATGAATCACAGGCTAAATATCTATTCCAAAACCCCAGTGTGCTCCCAAAACCTGAACCTTTCTGAGCGTCATCATGATGTCACAAGTGGAACACCCCACATCTGACCTCATAAGATGGGTCACAGTCAAAACACTGGCACAATAAAAGTAATATACAAAACTACCTTCAATATACGTATATTGAATTTGTTTAGATTTGGGACCTATTCTCCAAGGCATCTCACTATGTATGTGCAAATATTCCAATATCTGTAACACTTCTGACCTTAAGCATTTTGAGTAAGGGATTCACAAATTGCATTTTGTTTAAAAAATTTGTTTAGAGTTTATAAACTCAGGGACTCGGGCTTACTCAGCTTTCTTGCTCATAGTTGGCATTCTACCACTTGAGTCCGCCACTTTCAGTATTTGACTAATTAACTGGAGATGATAATCTCTCAGGTTTATCTGCACAGGCTGACTTTGAATCGTGAGCCTTAGATCTCAGCCTCTTAAATACTTAGGATTACAGGCATAAATCACTGGTACCTGGTCCAACCTATATTTAAATAAGTATTATTTAGTAACAAAATGAAGAACAGGGTTCCTTTATCTCGTGTGTGTGTGTGTGTGTGTGTGTGTGTGTGTGTGTGTGTGTGTGTGTGGCCTACAATCCACCTAAGACTTTACATGTGTTTAATAAGCAAGTGCTTCTACCACTGAGCTAAATCATCCAGCCTTTATTTCAATTTCAAGATGAAAATCTTCTGAACTCTTTTAACAAAGTGAAACAGTATTTACCCTTCAAAGCCCTTCAAGAAAAGTTTTACTTCCTAACAAAATCATTGGAATATTCCATGTAGAAATTTTGCACTCAATCTCTCATTAAACCCAGTGAATCTTGTTGTTCCTCCCTCCTTCAGTGAGAGCTATAAAATTCAGAAGACAAAGGGATGTAGAGTCAAGAGTGAAGCAGGGGGAGAAACTGTTTGGGGAGAATGCATTCACATTCAGGAAAAAAGGAGTCTGAGTGCCCCATGAGAGTCTGGATCCATACTTCCACTTTTCTCATGTGCTGGCTCTTATGGGGCGGGGAGGGGCGTGCCTCAATCAGAGCAGAAGGCTTGTAACCAATGCCACCAGCACAATCTTGCAGGGGGGGGAGGGGTGTGAGGGCGGGTGGTGAGTCCCAAGGAGGCACCTGGGCATTTGGACATATATTCTCAAACTAGATTACCTCAGTCAAACATGAAAACTTAAGTACTAACACATTAAGATGGGCCAGTCACTGGACATGTGTCACCCAACAAAGCAGGCTGCACATTATTCTAATTTTAGCTCCACCAGCCTCCTCATCAGAAAGAACCCTCAGGAGTCACCTACAGGTACTGATCTCCCTTCAGAGGTAGCCTATTCCCTACAGCTTACATAGAAAAACAGCAGCTGTGAGCAAGATACTTCAATGAAACAATGTACCTTCTCATACACACCTAAAAAAAAAATACCAACTTCTGTTACTCAGATATTCAGATAAGACAATGGTTTATAATCAAGTGAAACAGAACAAAATACAATGCCCAGAGCCCTTAAAGTGGGCAAGAAAGGTCACAGGGGAGCAAATGAAGGCATTACCTCAGATAACTTGGTAGGCAGACAAGGCTGGCTTGGCGGCAGCTGCGCCCCAGACAGGGACATAGATGAAGGATGGAGACATGGCACTAACATTCAAGCGTTAGGTGACCGGTGATGGCACAGATGAGGCAGCGGTTAACGCGGATGAAAGCAAACACACACAGATGGTGGACAGACAGTCAGAGCTGAGGGTGACCTGCCAAGAGGAGTTAGTAAGCTGAGTACACCACATCAGTGTCGTGGAAACAATGGCACGCTCAGACAGCTCCATCCCTGCCACACTAGGCCCTACCTTTCCTCTGGCGGCCACAGTGAGCTGCTGAAAGAGAGGAGAAAATGCTATGCCCAGTTGCAACCCAGGTGCTGTGGGCTTTCCTGCCATTTCTAAGTCTTGTCTTCAGGCAGAGGCTTCTGGGTTCCTTCTAGTAGGCAGAAGGCACTTGGGTCACACAGCACCCTCACACAACTAAAAGGGCCGGCCGCGGGCCGCGTGGTCTCCAACACCACACAGTACTGTCTGTGGGTGGCGTGCTTCCCTCCTCAAGCCGATCCACCTATGACAGCATTCAGCTCTCTTTAAATATAGCACACAAAATAAAACTAAAGACAGAGACAAGCTTTCTTTTCTTTCTTTTTTTCCCCCCAGTGTTGAGGATGGAACTTTGAGCATGCTAAGCAAGTTGCTAAGTGCTCTACCACTGAGCAATCTCCCCAGCTCAAGACAAGCATTTGAGCAAACAAAATTAGTGAAGGCAGTTTTGAGATATCAAATTATTTGAAAAGAGGTATAAACTAGCCATCATGCAAAGTAACAGATATCCTGTGTATAAATCAAGGATGAAATAAGTAGATACTCTGAATTTCTCTGAAGCAAAGGCTGTTCATCTGATTCTAAAACAAGCAGAAGAACAGAAGAGGGGTCAAGGTGAGCTGGTCCCACAGCTCATTCCAGTGGTGTTCCACACACACGACTGCTGGGCCAACTTACCAGATCTGTAACCGAATTTTCTTTCCTCTTAGCTCTACAGTCTTGATCTTAAAGTCAACACCTGTAAATAAAACAAATATATATATAACAATAAACATGCAATTTGTGACAAAACCCCTATTTGTGAGCTTCATATATCCTTACCAGGAAAACAACAACAACAACAACAACAAAGCCAGCATCACAAAATCCCAAGGATAAGGCAGATATACAAGAGTATTTGCCTAAGCATTGTACAAAACTGGAAAGAAACTCATCCTATTTATCTTGAGCCATCTCTCAAGTACTATTCAGAGTTCACTTTCCCCTTGCCAGAGTTCAGCATATAAGCCACTTAAAAATCACATTGATTGGACTGGGAAGGTGGCTCAGTGGTAGAGCACTTACCTTGTATGCCTGAGGCCCTGGGTTCGATTCCTCAGCATCACATAAGCAAAAAGAAAAAAGCCGGAAGTGGCGCTGTAGCTCAAGTGGTAGAGTGCTAGCCTTGAGCTGAAGAGCTGAGGGACAGCGCCCAGCCCAGAGTTTAGGCCCCACGACCGGACCCCCCCCCAAAAAAACAATATCACATTGACAAATGCACAAGGAACACTAAAAATCTGATCTTGAATTTGGAAATTACTGTATTTTCTACTCACAAAAAATACTGGTAAACATGCCAGGCGCAATATTCACAGCTAGGAGGAAAAGTTGCTATTAAAGATTTTCCCTAAGGAGGGAGCAGTGGCATTTGGTGGTCCTAGCACTCAGGAGGCTGAGGCCAGATTAAATGAGCACAGGAGTCAAAGCTTCGTTTGTGGTCATTTGGGTAAATTCCCAGGAGTTGGTTTGCTAGATCATAGGGAGCTCTATGTTTCGTCTTTGGAGGAACCTCCATACTGCTTTCCAGAGCGGCTGAACCAGTTTATATTCCCATCAATAGTGTAAGTAGCATTCCCTTTTGGCCATATCCCTGCAAGCATCTGTTACTATTTGTTTTCTTGATAATGGCCATTCTAACTGTGGTGAGGTAGAATCTTAATGTAGTTTTTGATTTGCAAAGCCTGAGATGTTGAATATTTATTTATGTGTCTATTGGCTATTCTTATTTCCTCTCCAGAGAAGTCTCTTTTTAATTCTTTAGTCCGCTTATTAATGGTGTAGTTATTTAAGGATTTGTTGGGGGGGGGTGTTAATTTTTTGAGCTCTAGGTATATTTTTGATATGAGGCTCTTGTCTGTTGTATACCTAGTAAAGATCTCCTCCCAATCTGTGGGCTTTATATTTATCTTTCTAGCTTTGCCATATAGAAGCTCTGCAGTTGAACGCAATCCCATTTTTCCAGGCTTTCTTTGTGGTTTTTCTGGATCTTTATTTAGAAGTTTTGGCCTGTGCCAAAAAGCCCTAGCGTATCCCCTATCCCTTCTTGTAATATTTTCAGGGTATCTGCTCTTACCTTGAGGCCTTTGATACATTTGGAGTTGATTTTGGTGCAAGGTGATATATAAGGATTTAATTCTGCCAGCACTATTTGTTGAAGAGGTTGTCTTTCTTCCATCTGATAATTTCGACTTCCTTATCAAAGACTAGGTGGCCAAAGGCCTGTGGAATCATGTCTGGGTCTTCAATTCTATTCCATTGGTCCTCAGGCCTGTTCAAGTGCCAGTACCAAGTTGTTTTTATAACTAGGGCTTTATGATAGAGATTCAAGTTTGGTATTGATATTCTTCTAGTACTGTTTTTCCAGTGATGGATTGTTTTTGCTATTCGGGGTCTTCTACTATTCCATATGAATGTTTGGATTGTTTCCTCTATTTCATTGAAGAATGTTGTTGGAAGCCAGGTGTAGGTGGCTCAGGCCTGTAATCCTAGCTACTAGGAACCACGATCTGAGTCCTCAAATCTGAGGACTCAGATCGTGGTTCCAAGCCAGCCTGGGCAGGAAAGTCTGTGAGACTCTTATCTCCAACAAACCACTAGAAAACTGAAAGTGGCGCTGTGGCTCAAGGGGTAGAGAGCCTCGCCTTGAGCTGAAGAGTGCAGGGCCAGCGCCCAAGCCCAGAGTTCAAGCCCCATGACCGACCAAAAAAAAAAAAAAGAAAAAAAAAAGAATGTTGTTGGCATAGTGATGAGTATTGCATTGAATTTGTAGATAGTTATTGGCATATTGACATTTTCATGATGCTAATCCTCCCAATCCAGGAGCATGGAACGTTTTTCTACTTCCTTAGTTCTGCTTTAATTTCCTTTTTCAGGTTTTTAGTTTTTATCATAGAGGTACTTCTTTGGTTAAGTTAATTCCTAGGGTTTTTTTGAGGCTATTATAAAAGGAGCTGCTTTTCTGGTTTAGCCTGACTCTTCTCGTTGTTGGAGTACAGCATTATTTACCATAGCTAAAATATAGAACCAACCCAGATGTCCCTCAGTAGATGAATGGATCAAGAAAATGTTGTATATATAACAATGGAATTCTATGCTTCCATCCAAAAGAATGACATCAACCCATTCATAAGGAAATGGAAAAACTCAGAAAAAATCATAGTAAGTGAAGTAAGCCTGACCAAAAGAAACACAGGCTCCGTGGTTTCCTTCATTTGTAATAAGTAGTATGTGTCTAGGATAGCAGAGGATCACAATAGCTCCACAGCTATGTATATAGGACCATATAAAATGATGCTAATCGTAATGAACTCCAAGATATGCTTTTCTTATTGTTTGTTTTTTAATATACTGTGTGAAGTTCTTTCTTTTTTCTTTCATTTTTTAAAGCATTTTTTTTTGTTGGTCGTGGGGCTTGAACTCTGGGCCTGTCTTTCATTTTTTTTCCCTTTGGTTTATCCCCTGTTGTCATTGTTTTTGATTTTGGTACCCTGTCTCTTCTATATATGTTTATCTGATTTGGGGAAGAAAAAGGGAGTAACAAAATGGTGAAACAAAGGGTGAACCGATGCAATGGTAATACTCAAAAGATGCTATATGTTGGAAATGAACTTTGCACCTAGCAGGGCAGGGAGTTGGTGGGGAGTCAAAGTGGGAAACCTTGTTTGACAAAAAATGTACTCATTACCTTACTTACATAATTGTAACCACTTTATGCCTTACCTTTACAATAAAATATTATTTAAAAAAAGATTCAAAGCTGGGTGCCAGTGGCTCATGTCTATAATCCTAGCTACTCAGGAGGCTGAGAACTGAGGATCGTGGTTCAAAGCCAGCCTGGGCAGGAAAGTCTGTGAAACTCCTATCTCCAATAAACCACCAGAAAACCGGAAGTGGCGCTGTAGCTCAAGTGGTAGAGTGCTCGCCTGGAGCTGCAGAGCTGAGGGACAGCGCCCACGCCCAGAGTTCAAGCCCCATGACCAACTAAAAAAAAAGAGATGCAAGGCCAACCTGGGCAACACAACAAGACCCCCTCGCAAACAAAACCCCTGATAGACAAACATTTCATATATAAATTAACATGCTCATGTTTAACTTTTAATATGACTGAGCAAACCATCATGTATCATCTTTCCTTTTCAATTCAGCCCATTCAGCTTCAGATATATTTTAAGAACCAAAATTTCATGTTTATCATATCTGATGTGCATTTTGGTTATAGAAAGCTTAAATATGTGAAGATAATATTGTTTTACTCAATCTGACAACTAAGAGGAAATGGGAAGAAAGCTGGCTTGCAGATGGCTTCCTGACACTTCCTAGCGTGTAAGCAGGCAGGAGCTCATTTGTTCGATGTAGCCCTGCCTATCCCTTGCCATGTATCTGAGACCAGAGGCAGCAGTGGTAAGATGAGGATATGAGGTAAAGAAAAAGCCATGTGACTGACTGGCTTTATAATTAGTAACACATTGTAGACTCCAGCCAGAATCAAGACATGTTTACAACCCCGGGGATGGAGGGGGAGTCCCTCTTCTGTACAATAAAGAAAAGCTGCCTGCACATAAAATGCCCTAAGTAAGCGAAGCTGAAAGCGCCACTACACTTCAGTGCTTACTCTCTTTTCAGACACAACTGCAAATGCGACTGGACAAGAGCAGCTGGTAACTCAATTTCACTTTCAGTTCTGGAGTCCATTGCTCTCCCCAGTCAGATGACACTCAGGCATGGGGCTGAGTCTGGAAGCAGGTCAGCATTCCACAGCCTTGAGCAGGGCCTTAGTGACCCACCACAAGGGAACAGTACCCAGAAGAAAGTGACACGGATGAGACACAACAGTGTAGATCTAACTACATGTCTCTACAGGACCAAAGCTAGGGTATCTTTGCTGACATATGATGGAATTTTCAGATCAAATTCACACTGTCATATCCCCAGTTACTTCAGGTGAGTTTGTTTTTAAAATTTTAGTTAGGGGAATTGTAAAGTGTGAAACTTGTCACAGCAGCTGCTATCTGACTGAAAAGAACTGGCTGCTTCTTTCTATCTCTGAGTTGTGCTTCCAACCAACTAACAGAGCCCCTTGAAACAGCAGAGTAGGATCTCTGGGCTTCCACAGAGCTGTCTCCTCTAAGACTTGGCTGTCTTTTCCAGCCAGCTTGAGAAACCAACCCAATTTTGGCAGCCCTACATGAGGACTATTTTGTAATCACAAAGTTTAATGAGTAAAAATAAAAGTAAAAGACATTAAAAAAAATCAGGAAAGCAGCAAGGCAAAGATTATCTGATAGTAAAAAGAATTGAGAAATCTATCCACCATGAAGACAACACATAATTAGTGAGTAATTAACCTCTCAATAACATCACTAACAACAGAAAAACACCCTATATATAAAATTCCAAAAAGTTAAGCAGCTCATTAAAACAGTGCCTGTAAACTTGATAAAATTTATGGCTTAGAAATACTTCTCTGTATCAAAGCATACAATCACATGTGTCTAAAATTCTTCTTACATATGGAGTAAAACATATCTCTTAATATTGTCTGTCTGTAATATTTACACGCCATAGAAATGATGACAGTAGAAATAATGTTGGAAAATCTCCAATAACCTCATTTAGTGGACACTAGCTTTAGGGGAAGTCAGCAGAGACCAAGGCCCCTCACTGAGGAGCTCTGGGGTATTCATAAACAAGCGAAGGACA